GAATGAAAATTTGCGACTTAGCTCATCTCTATCTTTTTTGACATTGCTTCGACAATTTGATGTTTGATTCACGCATAAAACGTCAAATTGTCGACGCAATGTCAAAGAAGAGCGAATTTCGCGGTTATATAGCCGCTTTCCAGCTGACCATTTTGAGCACGCAATCGAGCTTGTGCGCACGCAAATGCTTCAAGCGCATTTTCGTGTTCCAGCCGTACTGCGCTTCGAGAGCTGTTAACTTTTGCGTTTCAAACACAGAACACTGTTCTGCACCCTGCTTGAAGCACACAGCTGGAAAGCGGTTTATGAGTACTAGGCCGAGTTCAGAAATAACGCACAGGGTGCGAGTGCGATTTTATGGGTGTGCCTGAATTGACAATTGGCCATTGGGCCCATAGCACCGTCTAGCATTTTTGAACAGCTAGGGCGTCGCACCGGTGTCACACTCACACTGGGTGTGTCATTCCTGAACTCGCCCCTAGGCTTAAGGCCGAAGTGATTTATGAACTCCATATATGAACGCATTTGGGCGATCGGGGTCCGCCAGGCGTAATACCGTGCGTTCGGTATTTGGATCTGAGTTCTCCGAGCTTGAATTTACCGTTCGTTTATTTAAAAAGTGTACTCGGTGCAGGCTCACTTTCATGAAGTTCATCACCTGGCGTATTTTTGATTGAAAACCGCATTAAAGACGACAAAACAACCCAAATTCTTCTCAAAATTGCTTCTTAGACTGTTTCTCTAGTAAAAAAGTAAATTATCCGAAATTATTGTGAGAGAATTATTTTCGCATTTTCTGGAATAACTTCACTTCCAAATGAAAATTTGGCTTGAAATACGCGTTTAACCATCAAATTCAAGCTTAAAACAATGGAAAAACCATTCCTAACGAATGTTTTGATCGAAATTGGAAATTATTCTCATCAAGTTCATTTCCTGGCGTATTTTTGATTGAAAACCGCATTAAAGACGGCAAAACCCAAATTCTTCTTAAAATTGCTTTTTAGACTGTTTCTCTAGTAAAAAAGTAAATTATCCGAAATTATTGTAAGATAGAATTATTTTCGCATTTTCTGGAATAACTTCACATCCAAATGAAAAGTACGCTTGAAATACGCGTTTAACGAACCAATTCAAGCTTATAACGATGGAAAAACCATTCTAACGAATGTTTTGATCGAAATTGGAAATTATTTTCATCGAGTTCATTTCCTGGCGTATTTTTGATTGAAAACCGCATTAAAGACGGCAAAACAACCCAAATTCTTCTTAAAATTGCTTTTTAGACTATTTCTCTACTAAAAAAGTAGATTATCCGAAATTATTGTGAGATAGAATTATTTTCGCATTTTCTGGAATAACTTCACTTCCAAATGAAAATTTGGCTTGAAATACGCGTTTAACCATCAAATTCAAGCTTAAAACAATGGAAAAACCATTCCTAACGAATGTTTTGATCGAAATTGGAAATTATTTTCATCAAGTTCATTTCCTGGCGTATTTTTGATTGAAAGCCGCATTAAAGACGACAAAACAACCCAAATTCTTCTTAAAATTGCTTTTTAGACTGTTTCTCTACTAAAAAAGTAGATTATCCGAAATTATTGTGAGATAGAATTATTTTCGCATTTTCTGGAATAACTTCACTTCCAAATGAAAATTTGGCTTGAAATACGCGTTTAAACCATCAAATTCAAGCTTAAAACAATGGAAAAACCATTCCTAACGAATGTTTTGATCGAAATTGGAAATTATTCTCATCAAGTTCATTTCCTGGCGTATTTTTGAATGGTAATGCCCTACCTTTAAAAATCAACATACCTACATTGAGGTTTCTTTAGAAAATTTAGGAGTAGATGATGTCTGAAGTAGATAGGCCTGAAATCGAGTAAGTGAGGATGAATGTTTCCGAAAATGCCTAAATCTAATGAACAATGGCTGACGTTTGCACAGAGGAAGTTTTTTTTTTGTTTTGAAAGAGTGCGAATGGCCCAGGCGGCCGGCGCGAAAATCCGCGCCATTTTGTTCAGTTGCCAGAGATGTTATTTATTGCAAAGTTGTTTGATAAAGGCGAGAGAAATAGGATGCCTGGTAACTTTATGACGTCATCTGGGGTGCCTCAACATAATGCAAATCTCTATAAGGTATCGCAAATCAGATGCGTCATCAAGTTACCCATTACCATACTTTACCATACATTATACATACCTTGATGCGTCATCAACTTACCAATTACCATACAACCTAAACCTTGATTTATTGAAAAATTTTGTTTACCTATACAAAATTTAGGGGGGTGGGGGGGGGCAAGTAGTGTATGCCCTATGTCGAATTTGTCATGCCCTATCTTAAATTTGACTCTAGCTACGGCCCTGACTCCGATACAGCGTTCAACTGCTGGGTTCGCTCGCTGGTCACGTGATTACTGCTCCGTTCAGCACGCTGTGCTCTTTGAGCCAAATACCGAACGCAAGAGAGTTCTTTTCACGTGACTCCGGTTTGAACTAAGCGGGTTACTAAACGGTTAGTAGCGGTATGTCAAATGATGACGTTAATGAAAATGCCACTTGAAAACGAACGGTTGGAAAAATGTGATTTTAAAATTTAAGCAATCCAACTACCTGGCAAATATTTATAATAGGTTGATTCACCTTCTAGTAACTGCACCAAAATTTCCCGTGAAATAACAAAGTCCCTATTATTTATTTTAACTTTAATTGCTTCCATGTTCGTCAATTGATTATAGGTAGGTAGAAACTTTAAAATATTAATAAAACACAACTTAATATCACTTAATATTTCAGTTTACACCTGTCACAATTTTCCCGCTCTCTGTTGTTTACAAATTTTCTGTTGTTTTTGTTCTAACCGTTAAACGTAACCATATCGCCGAGCTGGTTAGAGAAATGACATGAACCCTTTTCACGTGGCTCCGGTTTAACAAACCGCAACATACCGCTCAAATTCGAGTGGTAGGTATCCATCACGTCACTTTGTAACCGGGTTAGAAAACGGTATGTCATTTCTCTAACCGTTTTGTAACCCGGTTAGGTTAGTTAAACCGGAGCCACGTGAAAAGAACTATACCGTTTTCTAACCCGGTTACAAAGTGACGTGTCGATACCACTCGAATTTGAGCGGTATGTTGCGTAGGGATGTCAAGTTTTTTTAAAACACCGGTTATTTCATTAACCGGTTAATTTAATAACAGTTTTAACTGCCCGGTTATAACTGATATAAAACACCGGTTATTATGATTAACTGATAGTTCGGTTATTTTCCCGAATTTTATCAGAATAATTGCATAATTTATACTACAGGGTGTCCTTAGATAAACTGACAAATTTTCTAGGTAAATATCTCGAAAACGAGAAAAGGTAACGGGATGCAGTTTGTTCTGGGAGAATAAGAATTTTTCAAAGTTTTTTTTCATAGTATTGTCGAATCCTGAAATTTGGTTTTACAGACATTCGATTTTTTGAAATAATTACATACTGACTGATTCTTGATAAAACACCCGGTATATTTTGTCATCGTCAGAAAGGGTGATTTTTCTATTTTAAAAAAACGTATTTTTTTTTTTCAATTATCTTGGAAGTGAATCGTAAAAATTGCACTTTGTTGAAGAGTGTAGCATCGACTGGCCAAAAAAAAAAAATAATAATTAATTTGTGTTTTATATGCACTTGCACTATTAATTAATTTGTGTTTAATACTTGTATTATTAGTTGAATATGCGCTGATTAGTTAATAAAAGTATTAAACAAAAATTAATTATCAATTTTGTTTTGGCCAGTCAATAGTATTCTCTTCGACAAAGTGCAATTTTCACTATGCAAGTTAAACATAATTAAAGAAAATTTACCATTTTTGTAAAGTAGAAAAATCAGGCTTTCTGACGATGAAAAAATATACAGGGTCTTTCATTGAAAATAAGGCAGTCATTTTATTTCAAAAAATCGCATGTCTGTAAAAACAAATTTCAGCAAATTTTAGGATTCGGCAGTAATGTGAAAAAAAACTTTAAAAAACCCTTATTCTCCCAGAACAAACCGCATCTCGTTATCTTTTCCCGTTTCCGAGATATTTACCTGCAAAATGTGTCAGTTTATCTAAGGACACCCTGTATAATGTAACTTAAGTTATACAACAACATATCTCTATTGTAAAAAAATTTGGAACTGTTATACCTATGTTAAGAAAAAGCATCAAAGAATACCTACACTTTTCTATAAACTGATTTTCTCTGCTGTCATTTTAAACATGTACCTACCCGTTGACAAGAATCGTTGACATGTACAGTTGCGGCCATTGGAATTGGCACAAACTTTTTGAAGGCAACTCGTATTGCATCAAAATCTGACAAAAACTGTAACCAACAAAAGTAGGCAGTGGCGTGAGTAATATGATGATTGAAAGATAAATAATAAAACTAATAAAACTGCTCTAGTTTGCCACTGAATTATCACTTTGACACAATTTTGGCATTAACGGCTTGGTAAAAAAGTCAGATTTTGATGCAACACGATGAGGTGCGTATTTAAAGTTTGTGCCAATTCCAATGGCCGCAACTGTAGTTTAAACTACATGTATGTCTTTTTTAATTCCGTTCATAAGGGAAATATGGAAAACAACCAGCTGCTGAACGAATTAACCGAAACTGAAATGAAATACTAGAGATGGGCACTACTATCGGCTGAAGACTGAGGAAATATTTCAACTAAAATCGCTTATTCAATATTTCACAATTTATCCAATAAGACGAGAGAAAAGTCTACTTATTTCATTTTCACCGGTTATTAGGTATAAAACCCGGTTATCCGGCTATAACTGGAAGCAAAAGACAACTGGTTTTAATCGGTCAACCGAAGAGAAAACACCGGTTTTTCGGTTTTAACCACCGGTTATTGACATCCCTAAATGTTGCGGTTTGTTAAACCGGAGCCACGTGAAAAGAGTAAGGTATGAACGTACCCCCTTGGCATATGGCATCAGTGTCTGTCAAGTCAACCGTCTACTTTGTCAAAAAAGCTAGGTTACCTAAAAAAATAAAAAATAACAAAAGTATTACCTTTTTTTAGAATTTTCAGGAATTCAGCTTACTCAATTTAATGTTAAATAATTATGTTATCGTTGCAAAATCAAAATCAGGTAAGTACCCCAACATGCTTCTCCGAGTGCTTTTCCATATAAATGCCTATCTACAAATGTAAAAATTGAATGTGCCCCTTTTTCTTGCAGGCATTTGCCACACTGACTCAAATCAGTTCTAAAACCACTGCGATAGTATTTCTTCGTAATAAAAAAGTTAAGTCCAAGCAGCAGTCAAAGGACCTCTTAATTTGCCCTGAGAGTTTTGCAGAAACTCTCAAAAACTGTGATTTTGCTTTTGCTCGCAACTTAAGTTTAGATTCACTTAACAAAAAGTCATTTTTAAACACCTTTAACGTCTCCTACACATCAAATGAATCTTTTTTCGAAAACAAGCAAGAAGGATTTATGAAAACTTCAAACAAAAACAGGATAATTCCTCAGAAACTTATTCCGAGGTTCTATGACAATAAGTTTGCTGTCAACATACAAGTACGACATTTTAAGACTGAACGGACTATACATGCAGAACTACAACGCAATCCGCCATTAATAAGTCGATTTAAAAACAACATGGACAGTACGAAACTCCCACCTAATATTGGAATTGCCGATGGCAACCAACTGAAGAAGTTATTGGTTGAAGATGCTCATATAACTGACAATGAAAGGCAACAAATTAAAATTGCTTTTGCTGAAGGATACTTATTAGGCAACACTGGAAGTGGTAAAAATGTTAGTAAGGTTTCGAGATACTTTAGAGTTGTGCAGCAAGTATTGACCATAGCCATTTTTTTGGCTATTGTTGTAAGCTTAATGGCCAGCGCTAGTGGATCAATTTTCAGGTAAAGAATAATTTCCAAGGTTTCTAAAGTCTTACTATAGGTAGTTGCCTACATTTCTATAGGATTCAGCTAGGAAATCAAGTGGAAGTGGACCCTGAAGAAATCCATATTACTTTTGATGATGTCAAAGGAGTAGATGAAGCTAAACAAGAGCTCAAAGATGTTGTGGAATTTTTGAAAAATCCTGACAAATTTTCAAACTTAGGTGGCAAATTACCTAAAGGCGTGTTATTGGTGGGCCCTCCAGGCACAGGAAAAACACTTTTGGCCAGAGCAGTTGCAGGTGAAGCTGGAGTTCCATTTTTTCATGCAGCTGGACCTGAATTTGACGAAGTTTTGGTGGGACAAGGGGCTAGACGTGTGAGGGACCTATTTAGTAAGTATGTTTATTATAGAAATGTGTCTGAATTTCAGCTTGTTATATTCTATTTTGAGCTTCGTAAGTTGCTCCTGCTTCTCAGGTACAGTACTCAGTGCCCAAAATAACAATCTAGGTAACTATGTATTGATCATCGTTTTTCTATAGTTGAATGAAGTTCATTTCCAGCCATGTTGAGGAGCCTGATTTCATTTCAATTCAAATCAAGTAAATTTTATTACACTCTTGCCGAATATCAATGAGGAAGTTGCATAAAATGTTATTTTTGCGCAAAATGTATTTAAAATGAAGCAAAATACTCTAGAAGTATATTTCCATTCTTAATACTGAACCACTAATAAATAATTAATTATTCAAATATTGAATATAACAAAGGGCGCGAAAACGCTCTCAAATTGGTTATGACGTCATGGAACAGTAAACAAACAAAAGTGTGGTTATGTTAACGTGATACGTGAGCCGTCAGACGCTTGTGTTTACATTGAATTTTTCCGATTCTACCACCATTCTATTCAATTCAATTCAATTCAAAAGGGCTTTATTGTCGGTAAATTATAAAAATTCATCGACAAAGCAATCTTATAATATAATAACTAAATATAGGTAAACATATGTCTGCTACCTACTTAATTTTAAAAGACCTAAATTAAACACATAAAACATTTTTATATATCACGATTTAATATTTAAAGAGACGAAAATGCTTAAAACAAAAAAGAAGCAACAAACAGTTATAAAGTACTTACATAAAAAGTATATCTACTGAACCGTAAAGCTAGTTATTATCAATAGAACAACATAGGCAAAATCGGCAACCCCCTAGGTAATGAGAATTTTAATATAAAAAAAATAAATCACTAAAGGATACATTAGGGCTGAGTAACTATTGCAATAAAACAGATAAAATTTTTAAAAAGTTCAAAAGGTTAAAAAGGTCAAAGCTGAAAGCAGCAGACTGAACGGGTGATAAAATACAAAAAAATGTTTTATTGCCATTCTATGTCGGTCATTGTCATTTTCCATTCACTAAACAAAGATACCCCTTGTTTTTATTCTAAACGGCGACTTCACCGATGAGTTAGCTATCTTTGTTTAGTGAATGGAAAATGACAATGATTGACATAGTCGCATAAACCAATGATATAAAACACAATTGACAATGGGTGAGACAGAGAGGGAGTACAGTTTTGAGGGATACCGTCTTGTGACGTCATTGATCTATGACTGCGTTTTGGCGCGCAGAGAGTTATTTTGAATGTCTATATTTTTCTACAGAAAAACTATTAGTTGAAAATTTAAAATTTATGTGGCAAGTGATTTTTTACAATGTGAAAAATTGAATAAGAGAATAAAAAAAAAAATCTGCAAATTATTCATTCAATTCAATTTATTAGCGAACGTTGATTAGTAGCTGCAAAAAAAAGACAAATAGAAATTGTTTACTTATAAAAGTAAATAATTACATATAGTGGGTATGTAAAAACAATATGAACAATTTACATTTAACAATCATTACATCTAAGTTAAATAAGGTGCAATGATACAATTAAAAATCAATTTTACAGTATTGATATTAAAAATATGTCTTTATTTATTTATTTAAGGTACACCTTGCAAACACTCAAAAGGTAATTACAAGTAAGGGTGGTTATCAAAAATGATGCTAAAACTAAAAAGAGAAAAAACAAGAAATAGTAAAGTTTACGGTAAAATTCAAATAACTTACAATAACACAACAATAGGTAAATATCTCACTAAATATGTACAACAACACTTATATTTCAGCTAAAATGAGAACACATTAATCTAAAATCGCTCTTATTTTATGCACAGAGAAGTATTAAATATATCTATTCCTCTAATAGTCAAGATTGAATTACATTCACTCAACATGGCATTCATAGGAGAACAACTGGTAGGACACACATGAAAGATATTGAAGGTGTTACACGAGGGGTGAACACATTTGGCAAAAAGTGTACACCTACATCCCTTTTTTGAGTAAATCACCTAAGTATTCCCCCGGTTCTTAGAAATCCTTAGGAAATCCTACTACATCCCAATAAATCCTAGTACATCATAGTAATTCCTTGGTAAATCCTTGCATATCCTAGTAATTCCTTGATAAATTGCCTACATCCCAGTAAATCCTTCATTGTTATTATGGCTATTATAACCTATAATACTCCTGTACATAAATAAGGCATATTTCGTTAGAAACATTATAGTTATTTAGATACCAAGGTCAATATGAGCCAAATAAGTCCCCGAGGTCCGATAGAGTACAAGCCAAGGGCATTTGGCCCGAGGGGTGTACATCGACCCTTTAGTTCATATTGCCCGTGGTGACTTCAACGTTTTATGTTTTACTAGTATTCTTATTTCGTACCTATCAGAGCTGGGCAAAGCCCTCGGTAAAAGGGCTTGAAGCACTATGCCCTAAGCCCTTTATCAAAGTGCTTCAATTTCCAGCACAAATTCCTTTTCATTTTCAAAAGTGCTTCACAAGCACAAAGCCTTCAAAGTGCTTTGGGCTTGACAAGCACAAAGCCCTCAAAGTGATTTGAAAAGTGCTTGAAGCACATCAAAAGTGCTTGGGGTGCCTTGAAGAGGGCTTCAAGCTCTTTAAATGTGCTTCAAGCTCTCTAAATGTGCCTAAAGCACTTTGAATTTGTAATAAAATTCTCAAAGTGGCATAAGCTACCGCGTACACTCATCACACAGAATTGGTATAGTAGAGACGAACTTTACATTTCACAGAGTAGCAGTAGTATGTTTTTTTTTGAGATGTAGTTCTGGGGTACTTGGGGTAGTTGGGGTACTTCATGGTAATTCAATTTTAAGGTTTTCAAAATGTTCAATGGGGAAAAGGGAAAAAATTCAGTGATAAAGTTAAATCGGGTACCAATATAAATTAATTATTTATTTGAATAATAAGTTCATTCATTTTTTTTTTTTATTCCATTCTAAGCTCAAACCCAAAACCTCCATTATTAAGATAGAAAAGACATCAGACGGTTCAAGTTCAAATAATAGAAAAAAAAATTAAGGGACAAAACACGATCGAAAATTTTTAAATGGGGGATAGGTTGAATGATGGTCAATTCAAATTCCTTTCAAAGTGCTTCAAGCCCTTTTAAAGTGCTTCAAGCCCTTTCAAAGGGCTTCAAGCTCCCAAAAGTGCTTTGAGCCCTCTAAAAGTAATTGAAGCTCATTGAAAGGGCTTGAATTACTTTTTTCAATTACAAATTACCAAGCACTTTTCTAAAGTAATTGACTTTACAAGCCCCAATTACAAATCTATAAAAGGGCTTGAAGCACAGGGCTTTCAAGTCCTCAAAGTGCTTCAAGCACTTTCGCAAGCACAAAGCACTCAAGCCCTGCCCAGCTCTGGTACCTATCTAAATCTCTAAATTTGAATTATTTTATCCCACTTTGACGTTCAGAAATTACATTATTGAACGCATATTAACAAAGGTAAGTAGAGGTTTATCACTTGAGTGACTTAAATAACTATTAACTCACTCTCGGTCTTTAAGTCATCTCTGCCAGTATAAAAATCTGCTTCAAATACAAATAAACAACTACACCTTTTCCATGTGTAATTGCGAATATATCACTTAATTTTAGGAATAGTAAAATAATATTGCGAATAAATCAAATGTGATTGAGAATAGTCACTTGCTATTGCGAATATATTAAATGTAACTGAGAAAAGTTAAATTTAATTGCGAACACATCAAATGTAATTGAGAATAGTTAAATGTAATTGAGAATAGTTAAATGTAATTGCGAATATATCATATGTAATTGGGGATAATCAAATAAAAGTAGTAAAAAATCAGATGTAATTGAGTTTTTTAATTTTTCAATCAACATCTGTCTGTTGTTGCTAAAATAACTAAGTCTGTTGTTGAAGGAAGTTTTTGTTTACATACATATAGTTTTGTGTCAAAGAAAGGCGACACAAAAAAGGAATTTCGCAATAATTGTGTTACATGCAAATCAACGATAACGAGGTTTTATCTACAACCGAGTCAACAGAGAAAATATTTGATTAGGTCCTAATTATATTTGAATAATTCGCAATTATATTTGATATATTCCAAATTTCATTTGATTTATCCCCAATTATTGCATCTGATATATTCCCAATTACACCTAACTTTTCTTAGTTACATTTGAACGGCATATTTTTCTTTAGTGGAATCCCATCTGAGATACGGAATCTGTTTCTGGGGAAATTGTACCAAGCAATTGTTTAATAGCGTGTTTCTGCTACAAAAACGAGCCATAAGGTACACTTTTAAAGCCAATGTTCGCGATACTTGTAAACCCCTGTTTATTAAATCTAATATTTTAACACTTGCCTCACTTTTTGTACTGGAAACAGCTTGTATGGCGTATAAAAAGTTTAAACCCCTAAATAGAGTTGGGCACGCATATAACACTAGAAATTTAGACCAACTCTCTCTGCCGATACCTGTATCATCCCAAGTAAAAAACTCGATTGTATACAGGGGAAAAAAGATTTTCAATCATTTACCAAGTCATGTAAAATCACTGCCCACAATGTCTAAATTTAGAAAAGAGGTGAAAAGAATATTGTTGCAGAGAGCTTATTATGATATTGACGAATTTTTTTCTACTAGTTTTTAATTTATGTTAGTAATTGTCATTTTACCGCGCGTGAATTAATTTTATTTTGTTTTGGTTTCGATTAGGTAGATATTTTGTTTGTGACGAGTGTTTAAAATGTTCATGTCTTATACACCAAAACTATTGTTAAGATCTTTTTCTTTTCTTTTATATTTAATTTACAGAAATTTTCCAATGTTTGCTTTGTGAACAAATATCTTGTATATTTCTTTTTACACAATAAAGCACGATTTTGATTTGATTTGATTTGATTTGATATATTCGCAATTACATTTAACTTTTCCCAATTACTATTCAATATAGTCGCAATATCACTTGACTATTCGCAAAATCAATTG